GGTGAGGGATGGAGTGGAGCAGGCTTCCAGGCTGGGATGGGGTGGGGGGAGGCAGGCGGTAGGTCTTGCCTGCGGAGCTGCGAGAGGCACCATGGCGGAGGCAGCAGGCAGGTGCTCCCTGGCCAGGGCGGCCAGCACGCGCTCACGGCAAGGGGCACGTTGTCACGGGAAGGCAACGTGGACGGAGGGGCAGGACACCTGGGTTTTGCTCCCAGCTCTCCGTGAAGGGCGCCGGCAGCTCAGTTGGCAATCGCAGGGGAGCAGGGCTCACACACCCTCTGGTCTCACCTTGGCTGGGTCCTTCCCGCCCCCCGCCGGGGTTTGCCAGTGGCCCCTTTAGCCGAGCTGTGGGACTGGCTGCGCGGGGCTGAGTGTACCTTGCTGGGAGCCAACGCAGGGGCAAGACTTCAGGGCTCCGGCCTGGGGATCCGGAGGGCCGCCTCTATGGCCGTGGGTCTGTCCCCTGCTCGACAGGCCACTCCGGAGGCCCCCCGGTTGCTTTGGGCCTCGCGTCCATCGTGCCCTGACATGATGCCATGGGGCTTTGCCATGCACATGAGCGCTTGTATCCACCTACACAAACACACACCCACGCACACGCACACGCACACGCATACGCATGCAGCCTATGACCCAGCCGGCAGCAGCTGCAGACAGATGGATGCCTTTGCAAAGTGTCTGGGGCTTTGCCTTGCTGCCCCGCTCCTCCCACCCATGTTCTGGCTGTTGTTTTAACCTAATCTCTGCCCCGGTCACGGCTTCGATAGCCGGGAGCTCGGGGGCAACATGTGGCTCTTCTTCCTCCGAAGCAGCCGCAGTGACCCCCAGTGACACGGCCCTGCGCCCCACTCGGGAACTGCACACCGCGGGAGAAACGGTTGCCCCTGATCTCCGTGGCCTGCTACGCCAGAGGAGCGATGGGACCCACGGGGGGGCATGGACCCGTAGGTTTGGTCCGAGTGTGGCACAGACATCCCCATTTGACGTTATCCTCAGGCAGCCGCTTGAAATGCGTTCGGTGGGTCCCAGCCAATGTCCCAGGGGGCAACAGCCCACAAAGAGCCCTGCCTCCCTCCGTGCAAGCTGCCCCTTGACCCGCTTGGCTGGCAATCTCCGGGGGAGAAGCCAAGGTCATTAAGGAGGTGGGCGGACGAGTCTGCGGGTCACTCTCTGCCTCTTGTCCCCAGGGCCGTCCTTCAAACCAGAAGCAAACGGCGGGGGGGAACGTTTTGGGGAGAAGCCAGCCATGGAAAGCTCTGTGTCTCTGCCCGGCTGGAGTCCTGCGGCCAAGATTGAAGGTCTCTTTCTAAAAGATACCCTCCAGCGCAACCACAAATTGCCAGGAATTACCGGTTGAAATTCTCCAGCCCGGGCTAGGTAGGAGGTCAGATCCGTCGAGCCCCGCCGGGACTCCAGCTCTAGGCCTCTGCGGCCGCCTCCAGCCCGTTAAGACTCGACCGGAAGGAAAACGAAGATGCTTGACTCGTCTTATTCTTTTTTTAATGATAACCCAAAATGTACCATAGCCATAAAATGCCTCTACCAGTCTGGGATGGGAGAGGTCCGTGTTACGCTGCACGGTTCTAACCGATGGGGACACAACCATACAAAAATAGAAAATAGGGGATTTTTAATATATATATATATATTTATATATATATCATATTTATATAAAGGCAAAAGTTCCCGGATTGCACAGTGTCGGAGGTGACGCGCTATGTACACAGCAGCGCAGGGGATGTACAAAATAAATACAGGAAAGGGGGGGGAGGCAGGTGTAGCAAGAAGCTGTGGGGCCAGCGTCCAGTTCGGACAGCAGGGAGGTCCATGCGGTGCTCAGCGATGAGGAGGGCAAGGCCCCGCTGTGCAGGACAGAAGGGTCCCTGCCCCAAAAGCAGGGCCGGGCAAGCCCTGGCAGTGGCATGGCCCGGGAGATAAGCCTTGCCCGCCGGTGCCCGGGGCAACCCGCCCAACTCCCTTGTTCCTGGGGTTGTTGCACACAGCACTCGGCAGCCGGAGCGGGGCAAGGGTGGTACGCGGGGAATACTGTCTGGGAGTGGGAACAACATCAAGTGACAGGCAGAGCCTGGGCCAAGCCCCTTCTAGGTGTAACAGGCTGGAGGGGGAGTGATGGGCTTTGAGAGCGTGCGGAGTCGAAGCTCGTGTGAAGCACGCCACTAGCCACCAGCCAAGGGAGCCCAGCCGCCTGATGCCCCGCTCTCTGCCCAAAAATGCCACCCTGACTTTGGTCACCGTGCTCTGGACAAGCATCGGCAGCTGCAGTGGCGCGGACCAGCTGTGTCCACAGACAGTCGCTGCCAAAAAAAGAGGCCTGAACTAATCCCCTGATCCATGCACCATGGACCCCAGGCTCCGAAGTCAGATGGAGGAGATGGTGCAATGCTCTCAGCATGGGGCTCTGTCACCCCACCCCCCGCCCCAGCCGTGCGGTGGGACATCCACAAAAGCGATGAGCCTGCTGCAGCCTAGAGGGGGATCTTAGCTCAAGCAACAAAGGCTCCTGCATTTAGCCCCCAGGCTCCCAGGCTCCTTGCCTAGCCGACAACCCAAGCCAGCGTGCCTGGTTGCACCCACTCTGCACAACGCAGAGGCCTGGACAGTGGACGAAGCTGGGTCCCCTCCCCGTTTTATACTCTCTGCTTGCAAACCCAGCTCCAGCAAGGGAACGTGGGTCACCCTCCCTCCCATCAGCCACCTGCTCCAAGGGGAGGGGAGCACGGCAAGTTCCCCCACGCACTGAGCTGCAGGCAGGAAGCGTCTGCGGACATGGCACTAAGAGGGAAGACAAGTGAATAAATAAGCCCAGGTCTGTCGTCTAGGGGCGAATGTACAGCGTGGGCCCGACTGGTGGTGGCAGCAAGCGTAGAAATGCCCCCATCCTGCTTCAAGTCCCCAGCAAAGAGGACAGATGGGACCAGACCGGGCCCACCTCGCCGGTCCTCTCTGCTTTCCATGGGGAGCAGAGCATAAATTAAAGCAACCCTGAGGCTGCTCTAACTTACGCCGGGGTCCAAGCTGCCTCAGCAGCGATGGGGAGACCCCCCGACTCCACGCCCTCCCACCTCTACACCCCGATGGCAGGAACGGAGCGACTGAGAGCGGGGGGGGCGCATCGGCATAACATAAACAGCTATAAATAAGGATCTTTTATCTTAATAAATATCGGGTATATGGTTCGTACAATATACACATAATGCCCCTAGCTCCCGGGTTCGGCCTCTTGGCGCACAAGGAAAGTTTCACACGTAGTTTTCTTCAGCATCGTCCTCATCTGGGGAGTATTTAGGCACAGCTGGAAATGGAGCCAGAGAAGAGAGAGTAAGATGCCGGGAAGCACCGAGACAGACTGTGGGCACAGGCAGCTCCAGGGCCTGGGGACAGCCGTGGGGGTCACTGGTATACCGGGGGGCAGGAGAAGAAGAGCCACAAGTCACCACCACCCACGCTGGGGCTGGTTTTCCCCCAGGCCACAATGCGCCCATTTTATACAGCGGCTGAGCTCCCGTATCCCCCAGACAGGGCCAGACTCATGGGAGACGCTGGTTTGATGCCAACCCTTCGCCACAGGCCTGGAAATGCCACCGTGATGGCACCCGAGCTCTGGTGGGAACAGGCCCATTGCTCTGGCATGACATCCCCACCTCCCCATGCTCAGCGAGAAGCAGAAATCGTGCTGGGCCAGCAGTAAAATGAGAGGAGCAAAGAGTCTGGGAACCATTTATCACCCCCGACAGCGCTGGCTCCACTGCATCTCAATGCAAAGCCAGGTGCCACGGAAGGACCTGCTACGAATTGACCCCCCAGCCAGGACCCCATCTGTCCCGGCAGAGATGGGCGACTTACCCAAGCAGCTTCCGTAGTGACGGACGCCAATGGATCTGCCCAGGAAGCAGGTCGCCCGCCGCAGGTGGCAGGCAGATGGGTAGGTGACGTTGTTGTTGCCGCACAGCGCGCGGTCCAGGCTGGTGGGCTCGGGGCAGGGGGCCGCCCGGCACATCACGCAGTGGGCGCTGCCCGTCTGGTCCACCACACAGGTGTGGGTCCCGGGACACACCACACTGGAGCAGGACTCTGGAGGAGCAATCAGAGGCGGCCGATCAACCGGGAGGTCTGTTCTCGGGAGGCCACCGGCACATCCGGAGGGGCAGCCTGGGCCAACCTCTGCTCTCAGGGTGAACCAGCACTACACCGGAGTAACCAACACCCTACAAATAAACTGTTTCCCCTCTTCCTTTCCCCCATGCCGCCCAGGACACGGCCTATACTGCTACTGCCTCTCTTTGCCTGCAGAAGGCAGAGGACTAGGATGGGCGTTAGTTCGGTGTTTCTCAACCCTTTTAGACTCCAGAGCTCCCCTGGTTAGACACCAGGACCCTCTTAGGAAATGCTGTTACCCAGCACAGCTGAGGGCAGGTGCCCTGAAAGCAGCTGGGAGCTCAAATACGCAGGCTGGGATGGGAAGGCATCAGCACGGCAATGCCAGGCCTCCGGCTTGAGACAGCGAAGGGCGCTGCATTGGGCTCCGGGGGCATTGGCTGCGCTGCGTAAGGATTTAGGGAAAGCGGCCGGCCAGACCTGAGCTCGGCTTGGCCCCGGAGGCGCCCAGAGCTACAGCAGCCGGAGGTGCATGGGCGCTCCCACACCCCACCGCTCCCGCTGCAATGCTTTGGTCCCTTCACCCAAGCCACGCAATCCCCACCCGATTTAATCAGCAAGGGCAAGGCACGGGCCAAGCCAAGCTGGAGCTGCACCTCCAGATGAAGGCAGAGGGCTGGGCTCCTCCTTGGCTGGTCACGGGGCTGCCGGCCCAGCCGACACGCAGCCAGGGTGAATTTCTGCACGGACACCCCCGCCCGCAGCCTCCGTATTCACACAGGCAGACAGGGGCACGGCCGGCGTGCGTCATCACTGCCGGGTTGTTATAAACAGTCTTCTGCTGGGGTTTACAAACTCCAGCTCCTTTGTGCGCTGGGTGGGGAGGTGGCTCCGCGCACAAATTCCCAGCTCAGATTTCTGCCCCCGGATTGGACTCCGGAGGGGGCCCTGACAGGCAGGAATGTCAGACACGGGGGCTGGCAAAGCGAAGCCTAATGCCGCTGACAGCTCTTGGCAGGGGTGCCGTGTTTTGCTGGTCTGCCCTTTTTTTTTTAAAAAAAAGAGAGAGAGCTCGATGCTTCCAAGTGACCTTTCATGAGCTGTTATTCTTCAAGCCAGGGGGTATGCAAGACCCACCGGACACTGGCGAGTATCCGAAGCTGCTACCGTACTATAAAATAACAGACGTCCCATCCCATTCTGCGCATCCTATGCTGGTAAATACAGAGTTCAGAGATGCTTAAAGACCCCTCCGTGCCTTCGGTGAGCCTGCGGCCGATGCCCTGTGACCTCACCGCCACTCCTGTCATTTTTTGAGGACACAGATGTTTTCGCCTTGCTGTGCTGCCATCTGAATCTAAAAGGCACGGGGCAAAGGAGGCTTGAGCTTATGTCCTGGGTACTGCAGGCTGTCTGGGGTCAATACTATACCCTATGCAATGCACAGTGGTGTCCAAAGAGATATGGTGCCATGCTCTGGTGAAGACCTGCCTCGCCTCACCCCAGAGCTGGCTGCATCTCCAGGACAGAGAGTACAGCCATATCTCGGTGTCCAGATCTCTCTGGGATGCTTTGACTTGAAAGAAGCCCACGGCCTGGGGGAACGCACCTGACACGCCAAAGCCCATTTGGGTTTGTCCTTTACCCAGCTCGCAGCGTAGCACCCCCGAGACCAGTTCCCCGATGACAGCAGACAGCAGGAGCCCCGGGAGCTCCCCCCCAACCTCGTCTCTTTGTCTTTCTCCAGCAGAAATCTTAACTTAACAGGCAACTTTCTTCCTTCTTCATCCCTCCCCTCCTCCCCCATCCCTGGAGCCGCGTCTGATGGAGCACAGCTGGTATAAATGATCGGTGCTCCGAACTCCAGCCACTCGCACAAGCTGGGGACCTGCTCCCCTGATCTGGGAGGCTCTGCACACCCCTGAGAGTCCCCCCCCCGTTCCCTAAGCCCAATCCTCAGCTTATCTGCACTCGCACTCCCGTAACTGTGATGCTGCTGCCAGGAGAACAAGAGAGAAGCCGTGAGGGCAGCATTTCAGCAGTTACTCCACTGAGGGCTGAAAGCCTCGGGGTTACAGCCTGTCACCTTGATCTATGCTGGACAAAGCAGGCCCAGCGGGAACAAGCTTTGCACACAGAGGAGTACAAGCAGGCTGCTCAGTGTCGCACGCGTCTGGCTTTTACCAGCCACTTGGGAGGTCCGCGGAGGGTGCCAGAGACCTACAGGCCTGCTGCTTCTCTCTGGCTCAACTCCTGGCTTGCTCACAGCTCAGGGACCCCCAGGTCCGGGCACCAGGGACTGTACTAGTGGGCGTATCTAGTGGATATATCGCTGCCCCGGTGGAAGGGGTTGGCTGCTCGCAGGGAATTCCCAGCGTGAGAGGAGCTGGGCGCCGGCACGGACTCATGTGCCCTGATCAGGGAAGGCACCGTGCCCCAGAGCTTGGAGGGTGCCGCAAAACCCAGTGGCGTGCTGGGAGAGCCCGGGCGCCCCACGTACTTTTGCATTTTCCCTGGTACATCACTTCCAGGTCGGGGTGGTCTCTGCACTTGACCGTCAGCAGCTCGCACTCGTCCCGGTAGGTGTAGCCGTCGGAGCCGCACACCTGCAGCTTCCTGGGCAGGCGGGAGCAGTCGGGGGCGCAGGTGCACTGGGGGCGGTCGTGCTTCATCTTGCAGACCTTGCCGGGACCACACACCACCCCCTCGCAGGACTCTGGGGATGAGAGAGGGGTCACTCCCATGCTAGCAAGGCTCCTCCAGGCAGCTCGGGACAGCCCCCACCAACCGAGCCGCAAGCTGGCCCGCTGGGCCAGGACGGACCTGGCTATAGGGGCAATGCTGCTCCAGCTACTGCTGGTCCGTCTCTGCCGACGGCAGGCACAGCACCGAGGGCAACCCCGGCTGACCGTCTCCATCACTGCCCGGCACAGCACACCAAGGTGCTCTGGCGGGTCACCCAGCTCCGCCTGTGCAAATGATGTCCCCTGAGGCCCATCCTGCTTGAGGCTGCCAGCTGCACCAGCCGCACAGCTGGCCCGGGCCTCCGAAGGCCAGCAGGCTTCCTTTGCTTCTCATGCAATGGAAAATCCTCAGCAGCCAGCGCCCGGGACCCTCCCACCGCCTGGCCTTTGCGATCAACACATCCCCTCCGTCAGACAATGCCGGGGCCTGTTCTGCGGCAGGACTCCGTGACTCGAGGCTGGAGCTCGCGGAGACCCCGTCTGGGCCGCCCGGGGGGGGCCAGGCGGGGGGAGGCCGAGACAGACAGCGGCATTGTCGCGTGGGGTCACACCCTGGCAGGCGTCTGTCTGGGTTCAAAGGGCCCCTTGAGCTGGTGTGCGTGCGTGATGGGCACAGGAATTTCCCCCGAGCGGGGGAGAGCGCTGGGAACCCGGCCGGGCTGGGAACCAAGCCTGGCGCGGGTCACGGGCTGGCGACCGCCGCGGGAGGGCTCAGGAGATGGGGGCCGCTGGGTGGGAGAGAAACCCCCTGACACAAGACCAACTGCTGACCCTGTCTGATCCCGGAGGGGATGCGGAAGCATCTGCATTGCAGCTGGAGCTGGGGCTGGCGTGGTGGGTCCCTGGATCTGTTCGGGGGGCGCATCCCCGTGCCCCAGGCACCAGGTGGGATGGTCCCAGGAGGGTCTGTGCCAGGGCTTGCTTGCAGGCAGGGGGAAGAGGCAAGCCTAGGGGGGCTCTGCCCGCACCCCATTCATTGCACTGCTGACTCGTGGCCCGAGCACGTGTCCTGCGGGAGCTGGAGGCACATGTCCCTGCTCGTCTCCCCAAGCCCCGGGGCTTTGACCTGGCTGCGGAGCTGGAGCAGGATGTGTCGTGCCCGTAGCTGAGGCCCGTCATAGCCTGGAGTAACCTCTTCCCAGCAGGAACCAGAGCACAAGAGAGGTCATCTCTGCTGCTCTTTGCCAAGGCCTCTGGCTCATGCCCCAGCAGCCCGGGAAGTGCGTGGCACTAGCACTGCCTGAATGGGGTAGACGGGGGCGGTTGTTCCTCCTCTGGCTTTAGGTTGGTCCTGATCCCCACTCTGAGACCCCCCACCCCACTGGGGACAGCTGGGCGCAGGGCACCATGCAAAGGTCCAGCAGATCTTTGATGGAAACCA